TGCTTTCACAGTGGTGCATAGACTGGACAATAAATGACATGTTATTAATGTGGGAGGAAAAAAACGAGACTGCATTGTCTAGTTCAATAGAAAACACCAGGTGGAAGATGTCCAACAAATTACTATTGCATAACATGTATCAGTGAACCTGCAAGACATGTCAGTGACTGTTACCACACGTTAGAAAAATATAAAATACTGAACCAGGTGTGGTGGCTTATGTAATCCCAGCACTTTGGGAGGTGGAGGTGAGAGGATTGCCAAAGTCCACAGGTTCGAGACTAGTCTGGGCAACATGGCGAAACCTCGTCTCTACAGTAAATCAAAAAATTAGCCAGGCATGGTGGCACATAACTGTGGTTCCAGCTACTTGGAAGGCTGAGGCGGAAGGATCACCTGAGCCCACAGGTCGAGGCTGCACGGCCATGAACGTGCCACTGCACTCCAGCCTGGGCGGCAGAAACTCCGACTCAGAAAAAGAACAGAAAAATATAAGATACTTAACCCTGAATTGTATCCCACATCTTTAAAATAAAGATGATTTTAAAAAAGAAAAGTATAAGATACAAAATTTTGATTTATCATAAATGAGTTCCTCAATATCCAAAATTACATCATAAGCCAGATATCATTACAATAAAATAATTGGTACAATAAAACTATTGATTATGAAGTGGAATGTTTTTCACTGTTATGTAAAATGCAGTCGGATTACTGGTTAGGTGATCTGTGAGATGTCTCAGTGCAAAGGGTTAATGTGTGCAAATTCCACTGGTTACAGAAAGCTACTGTGCTGGCACGTTGTTAGCTTTGCATGAGATGGAGATGTTCTAAGAAGAGGGGAGAAATGCAGACTTACACCCTGTAAATGTTGCCTGTTCATACATCTGTGATTTTCTTTCCCCTGTAGGCTTCAGAAATGGGAATTAAATACGTACTTGTATGCCCCGAAAGATGACTACAAACATAGGATGTTTTGGCGAGAGATGTATTCAGTGGAGGAAGCTGGTAATCTTTTTCTTTTTAATTCATAGATTCAGAACACGCGAAGACAACTGTATTTTAAATGTGGTTGTACAAGAACTGTGTTAGATGTTTCATGTACTTTGTAGGTAGTTTTCTGTCTTTCTGTGTGGCACCTGTTCAGATTGCATGAGTAAGCTGAGGTGGAGAGGGTCGCACCAGCAAGGTCACAGTGTGCCAAGCACACTGCTGCCAGCTGTGCTTGGACCTAGGGCAGGGCAGGTGAAGCACCTACCTTGGGTGCAGATTTTAAGGAACTTCAAAAAAATTAGGAACCAAGATACATAATATTTCATGCAGTATTTATTTATTTATTTTTGAGTTGGAGTCTCACTCTGTCACCCAGTCTGGAGTGCAGTGGCCGCTCCCGGGCACCGCAGCCTCGACCTGCTGAGCTCCGGTGTTCCTTCCGCCTCAGCCTTCCAAGTAGCTGGAACTACAGGCGCGCGCTACCACACCCGGCTGATTTTTTGATTTATTGTAGAGATGAGGGCTCGCCAAGTTGCCCAGGCGGGTCTCAAACCCGCGGGCTTAGGCAATTCATTCACCTCAGCCTGCCAAAGGTGTGGGATTACAGGCTGAGCCACCGAGCCCAGCTTATTTATTTATTTATTTTATTTATTTATTTTTTTGAATTGGAGTCTCACTCTGTCGCCCAGACTGGGGTGCAGTGGCCGCTGCCGGCCACTGCAGCCTCGACCTGCTGGCTTCCAGCGATCCTTCCGCCTCAACCCCCAAGTAGCTGGAACTACAGGCACACGCTATCACGTCCGGCTAATTTTTTTTATTTTTTATTTTTATTTTATTTTATTTTTTTTGAGTTGGAATCTCATCTCACTCTGTCTTCCAGACTGGAGTGCAGTGGCCTCTGCTGGCCACTGCAGCCTCAACCTGCTGGGCTCCGGCGATCCTTCCGCCTCAGCCTTCCAAGTAGCTGGAACTACAGGCGCGCGCTACCACACTCGGCTAGTTTTTTGTTTTATTGTAGAGATGAGGTCTCACCAAGTTTGTTTTATTGTAGAGATGAGGTCTCACCAAGATGAGGTCTCACCAAGGTGGGTCTCGAACTCGCGGGCTCAGGCAGTCCGCTCACCTCAGCCTCCCAAAGCATGAGATTACGGGCTGAGCCACCGAGCCCGGCTGTTTTTTTACTTTTTACTTTTTATTTTCCCGGCCACTGTAGCCTCGACCTGCTGGGCTCCGGCGATCCTTCTGCCTCAGCCTTCCAAGTAGCTGGAACTACAGGCGTGCTGTCATGCCTGGCTAGTTTTTGATTTGTTGTAGAGATGAGGTCTCGCCAAGTTGCCCAGGCGGGTCTCGAACCCACGGGCTCTGGCAATCCACTCACCTCAGCCTCCCAAAGGCGTGGGATTACAGGCTGAGCCACTGAGCCCGGCTCATGCAGTATTTTTTTAAACAACCAAATGTAATAGAAAAAATTCATTGTGGACAAAATATTAACATTTTAGGTAAAGACAGGATCAGTATTACTGATCGTTCCTTTTACTTCAGGCTCTAGTTTGACTTGGTATTATTGACTGTTACTGATCCTGTCTATTTAAAATTCAGACCTGCTGGGCACGGTCACTCACTCCTGTAATCCCAGTACTTTGGGAGGCGAATGCGAGAGGATTACCTGAGTCCTGGGGTTCAGGACCAGCCTGGGCAACTTAGTGTAACGTTCTGTCTGTAATAACTCAAAAAGTTAGCTGGACGTGGTGGTGCATACCTGTGGTTCCAGCTACTTGAAAGGCAGAGGTGAAGGATCACCTGAGCCCAGCATTGAGGCTGTGGTGGCCATGAGCATGTCACGACACTCCAGCCTAAATGATGGACTGAGACTCCTACTCAAAAATAAATAAGTAAACAAACAAACAAATAAAATGAAGACCTTCTCCAAATTCAGCGATGTGGAAACCATAACACACTGTTCTTGTTTTTATGTTGAATTAGTTACATAAAATTGATAAGTTAATAGTATATCACAGAACCACCTTGTAAATTAGACAGATGGTGCTTTTCTTTGGGAACTTTAGTGAATGGGGAAGCAGATTTATACTTGGGAAGTAACTCATACAGATGTAGCTAACGAGCTATTTAGTTATAGAGCCCAGCCAAGGCACTGAAGCCAGAAAGTTTTGTTGAATTATGAAGAAGCACTTAAAACTTATCCTGTCTCCATCTAGTGTTGTTTACTACTCTATATAATTTAAGTATGTCTTCAACTTAATTATTTTCTGGTGGTGGTGGTAGTGAAATTTAATGTGATCAATAATCAAAATAGAGTCAAATGACTTTCTTGAAATACCACTGAGTGTTACTCAAAGATATGTTCTGTGGTATATAGTAGTAGTATTTAACTTATTGAGGCAAACTGCCTATCATATTTCAAAAGCTTAAAGTCTATAGTGAATGTTTTTCCTGTAAATATAAAGATGAGAGGTCAGGATTACTAAGGCTGCCACTTACCCCTGGCTCTTAAGAAAGCGTTTTCTTGAGCCGGGCTCCGTGGCTCAGCCTGTAATACCGTGCCTTTGGGAGGCTGAGGTGAGTGGATTGCCAGAGCCCGCGGGTTCGAGACCGGCCTGGGCAGTGAGACCTCATCTCTACAATAAATCAAAAAAATTAGCCAGGCGTGGTAGCACACGTCTGTAGTTTCAGCTACTTGGAAGGCTGAGGCGGAAGGATCACCGTAGCCCAGTAGGTCGAGGCTGCGGTGGCCAGGAGCGGCCACTGCACTCCAGTCTGGGTGGCAGAGTGAGACTCCAACTCAAAAAAAAACAAAAAAGAAAGCGTTTTCTTTCTTTCAGATTATAAAGTAGCTATTTTTAGATTTATTTTTTATTTTTTTATTTTAGAAAATATCATTTATTTAAAAGTTAATTAGAGAGTGAGAGAAAGAGAAGATTCACCTCCCCAAAGTGGGAGAGAGGGCCAAAGCCAGGAAGCATGGCGACAACCATAGCTCAAAGAGCACATGGCCATACCAGAGTCTAGGAAAGCAATGGCCTTTTAGATTTATTAAGTTAGGAATTTCAGTTGTTGAGAGACAGAAGAAGGAAAAAAGTAGCAGCAGTTAAATCTTTCAAATGCTGCGAGAAATAAAAATGTCTTAAGTTCAGTAATAGAATTGACACTTAGGGTAAGACATGGTGGCTCACACTTCTTTTTTTTTTTTTGAGTTGGAGTCTCACTCTGCGCCTGGCCACCACAGCCTCGACCTGCTGGGGTCCGGCGATCCTTCCACCTCAGCCTTCCAAGTAGCTGGAACTACAGGTGCGCGTTACCACGCCTGGCTAATTTTTTGATTTATTGTAGAGATGAGGTCTCGCCAAGTTGCCCAGGTGGGTCTCGAACCCGCAGGCTCAAGCAATCCACTCACCTCAGCCTCCCAAGGCGCGGGATTACAGGCTGGGCCGCCGAGCCCGGCTGGCTCACACTTCTAATCCCAGCACTTTGGACTGCTGGGTAGGAGGATCACCTGAGCCCAGGGTTGTACGACCAGACTGGGCAACATAGTAGAGACCTTGTCTCTACAAAAAAATTAAGAAATTAGCCATGGGTGGTAGCACAGGCCTATGGTCCCAGCTACTCAGGAGGCAGAGATGGAAGGATTGCCGGAGTCGAAGAGGTTGAGGTTGCAGTCAGCCGGGATCACGCCACTGCACTTCACGCTGGGCTACAGAGTGAGACCCTGACTCAAAAAATAAAAACTAAAAAAAGATTTGACACTTAACTCATTGTTTCTGAGAAATGGCAATGAAAGGAGGAAAATGCTGTATTGATCTTAGCTTGTTTCCTCGAAAGGAGAAGAAACTATTTAGAGATGAAAAAGAAGGGCCTGTTATTTCCTGTTGGTCCAAAGAAATCAAAGGTGTGAAAACTTGTTCTTTCACTGTGACATTGAGTCACTTCAGGCCAATGCCATTTTACGTGGCCTGTTTTTAGCTTGGACACGACACTTGTGTAAAATTTAAGGATACTTTTCCGTTGTTATAAGTTGGGAGAAATGACATCTTCAGTTGAAAAGTGAAGGGTCTTCTAGTTTTTTCTACTGCTTTGTGAAAACATGTGCTCTGTTCTTTAGAGCAACTTATGACTCTCATCTCTGCTGCTCGAGAATATGAGATAGAGTTTATCTATGCTATCTCTCCTGGATTGGATATCACCTTCTCTAACCCCAAGGAAGTGTCTACGTTAAAACGCAAACTGGACCAGGTAACTCCTTTTTTTTAATCATTTTCTCCCAGTCAGTACTTGAAACTGAAAGTTTTCTCAGTTGCTTTCACCATGTTAAAAGGAAATCAGATTCATACTACTTTGTTTCTATGAGAAGTTTTTACTTTTAAAGCTTCTGACAAATGAATATTTTCCAAAGTAAGGCAAAGGCACTTTACTGGAGGTACTTGTGCTTGTCGAACTTTAGTTTGTGTAAGAACTGCCTTAAAAGAATGCTTAGAAGCAAAGCCTATGGGAATGCTGGCTACTCAGCATCCTTGCCAGAGTCCTCTGCCAACATGGGATGGAACTGGGAATCCAAGTGGTTCTGAGATAGGGTCCAGAACCACATTTTGGGAACTATGTGTGCATAATTGAATTTGGAGCTGAGGTTACAGAAACAGGATTTACCTGTTACACCTTGGTTATATGGACAAGAGATGTAATTCAGTTTGAAAGTGGCTGGCTTCCCAAGAGAAAGAAAAGAGACTAAACATGTAAACTGTTGGTAACTTGATTTGAGTCTAAAGTCTACTTAACATAAAAGCTGCAAATCTTTTTTGGTAAAGTGTAGAGCTCCCATTTTCTTGTTGTTGTTATTTTTTGTTTTTGTTTTTGTTTTGCGTTGGAGTCTCCCTCTGTTGCCCAGACTGGAGTGCAGTGGCCGCTTCCGGCCACCATAGCCTCGACCTGCTGGGCTTCGGCGATCCTTCCGCCTCAGCCTTCCGAGTAGCCGGAATTACAGGCGTGCGCTACCACGCCCAGCTGATTTTTTGATTTATTGTAGAGATGAGGTCTCGCTGCCCAGGCGGGTCTCGAACCCGCGGGCTCAGGCAATCCGTTCACCTCAGCCTCCCAAAGGCGCGGGATTACAGGCTGAGCCACCAAGCCTGGCTTCTTGTTGTTTTTTAAGGTTACAGTTCTTTCTGTATACATACTTTGTTTTTTTAGTCAAAGATTTACATTGGTGGCATTAAAATGTCTGGTAAAAAATTCAAGGTAGTTAAAAAATTTTTTTTTTTTTTTTTTTTTTTTTTTGAGTTGGAGCCTCACTCTGTCGCCCAGACTGGAGTGCAGTGGCCGCTCCCGGCCACCGCAGCCTCGACCTGCTGGGCTCCGGCGATCCTTCCGCCTCAGCCTTCCAAGTAGCCAGAATTACAGGCATGCGCTACCACACCCGGCTGATTTTTTTTTTTATTTATTGTAGAGATGAGGTCTTGCTGCCCAGGCGGGTCTCGAACCCGCGGGCTCAGGCAATCCACTCACCTCAGCCTCCCAAAGGTGCAGGATTACAGGCTGAGCCACCGAGCCCGGCATAGTTAAAATTTTTATAAATGAGATTATTTCCCTACTTGATGGAATTCTGTCATGTTCTTTCTGAGTCATACCTACCTAGCTAGGTTTATCTACAAAGGGACTAGGACAAATCCTGAGTTTTTTAATGTCTCAAGGTTGCTTACTGTTTTATGTTTTTGTATTTTTCTGACTCTGTTGGGTCTTTTACTATTAGCAACCAGTGAAGTAGGAGGCTAGGCCTGTGAAAGTTTTGTTGGTATGTAATGTCGTACAGACTGAATATCCCTAATCTGAAATGCTTCAAAATGAAAGTTTTTGAGTACCAGTTTGACATTCAGAGGAAAAACTCGTTAGAGCATTTCAGATGTCGGATTTTCAGATTGGGGTGCTGGATATAATGTAAATATTCCAAAGTCTGAAAAAAAAGTCTGAATTCTAAAACTGAATTCTGATCTCAAGCATTTTGGGTAAGGGATATTCAACTTGAATTGCATTCAAACCCAAATGAAAAATAGATCCAAGAACTCTAGTTGTTTAACTTGGAATTTCTTTCACTGAAAATATAAAAACAGTAGGTCTGGCTTTGAATATTCTACTAAGGAAAATATTTGACTTTAAGTATAACTATTAAGTACATACTTTAATATTTAGAATCCCTTGTGTTTATTCTAAAATGAACTGATTAGCATCTTGATTTTTTAATTCTTTTTCTAGGTTTCTCAGTTTGGGTGCAGGTCATTTGCTTTGCTTTTTGATGATATTGACCATAATATGTGTGCAGCAGACAAAGAGGTGTTCAGTTCTTTTGCTCATGCCCAGGTCTCCATCACAAATGAAATCTATCAGTACCTGGGAGAGCCAGAAACATTCCTCTTCTGTCCCACAGGTATTGTGCATAGTAGTTTTATGTTTAACTAGTCTTCTTGAAATATAGAACTTCCAAAGGGTTGTGCACGGGACCTCATGAAGCCCACCCCGCCTCCCCACGTCTAAAAGTAGAGTCCTGTTTCTAGAAGATGCTCCTCGAGGTCTTTATTGGAGGAGTTTTAGGAACTAATGACAACTGAGTAGGGAAAAGATTTTATGTATTTAAGTATTTGAGCATGACATTATCAGAATTAAAGGAGGGACAGTATCGAAGAAAACTGGAAGAAACGTCTAGATGCTTTTCCTTAGTCACTTCTCATTGCTTCTTGCTTATCCCTTTTTCTACCCATGCATATCTTTCCCTTTTTTTTCATTCCTCCCACTTCCATCTGGGCTTTGTGGAACATGTTTTAGTCTCTTTCAGTTGCTTCTCAAAACTAAACTTAGAAGTTGTCTCCAGACTTGATTTCTTGTTGAGCAAGGGATAAATAAGCAAGTTCTAGGAAATTTTAGGCTGAAATATTTAACTGTGTGTGTGTGTGTGTGTGTGTGTGTGTGTGTGTCTGTCTTAGAGTATTGTGAGCCAAGAACCTTATTTTAGTGGTCTGATTCTATATGCGTACTCACAAATATGTGTGAGATTATACTGGGAATTCATTGCAAGTTAAGGTTTTTTTTTTGACTCGGAGTCTCACTCTGTTGCCCAGACTGGAGTGCAGTAGCCACTCCCGACCACCACAGCCTCGACCCGCTGGGCTCTGGGGATCCTTCTGCCTCAGCCTTCCAAGTAGCTGGAACTATAGGCGTGCGCTACCACACCTGGCTAAGTTTTTGATTTATTGTAGAGATGAGGTCTCGCCAAGTTGCCCAGGTGGGTCTCAAACCCGCGGGCTCAGGCAGTCCACTTACCTCAGCCTCCCAAGGCGTGGGATTACAGGCTGAGCCACCGAACCCAGCTGCAAGTTAAATTTAAGTTGCAGTTGAGTACTGATAACGATTGGCATAATCGTGTATCAGTTATATTATGACATTAATAACAATTCATTCTATTTGGTTTCTGTAAGTGAGAAACAGGCAACTCAGAATAAAGTACAAATGTTAAAATTCTTGTTTCTTTAGTAAACTTGTATTTCTAGTAAGTGGAGAATCAAGGATTGATTGTTGGAGGAAGAATATAACATTTTACAAATTGATTCTTTTTCCTTTTTTTTTTCTTTTCTTTTTCTTTTTTTTTTTGAGTTGGAGTCTCCCTCTGTCGCCCAGACTGGAGTGCAGTGGCCACTCCCGGCCACTGCAGCCTCGACCTGCTGGGCTCCGGCGATCCTTCCGCCTCAGTCTTTCAAGTAGCCAGAATTACAGGCATGCGCTACCACGCCCGGCTGATTTTTTTTTTATTGTAGAGATGAGGTCTCGCTGCCCAGGCAGGTCTCGAACCCGAGGGCTTAGGCAATCCACTCACCTCAGCCTCCCAAAGGCACGGGATTATAGGCTGAGCCACCGAGCCTGGCTTACAAATTGATTCTTAAATGAACTACACACTTGAGTCTATTTCCTAGTAGAAGGCCTTTTATCATTTGGGGGAAAAGAATTTAGAATTGGCAGACATTTTCCTATTTAAAAACCCTTAACCATTCCACTTCTGACATCTTACTTAATTTTTCTCCTTACATGTAGAATATTGTGGCACTTTCTGTTATCCAAATGTATCTCAGTCTCCTTATTTAAGGACTGTGGGTGAAAAGCTTCTACCTGGAATTGAGGTGCTTTGGACCGGTAAGTCTTTAAGATGTGTGTGGATAAAACTTGAATTTCAACATATCACTTTCTTGTTAATTGAATAGTTTTAAAAAACTGAGCCTTAACCAGAAAACCTGTTAAAATACTATTTAAGTATACATTCTTCACTTAGTATAAAAAAGTTCTCAGGTTTTTGCAATGAATCTGATTATCAGTTACTGAATAAGTAATAAAGAGTCTATAGGGAAACTTGGCTAAAGGTATTGATCCCATCCATAGGAGATTGTTCTGTTTTACACAAAAAGTAAAACTGAGTAAAAAGACATGTTGCTGTGTTAAAAAGAAAAATTGTTAGAAAGTGTGCATGTGAGGAAACAGCATAAAACATTGCATGTACAATATCTTTTGAAGAACCATGTGTGAGATTTTTTAAACAAATGGTGGTCATTATTTTTAGGTCCCAAAGTTGTTTCTAAAGAAATTCCAGTAGAGTCCATTGAAGAGGTTTCTAAGATTATCAAGAGAGCTCCAGTAATCTGGGATAACATTCATGCCAATGATTATGATCAGAAGAGATTATTTTTGGGCCCGTATAAAGGCAGATCCACAGAACTCATTCCACGCTTAAAAGGAGTCCTGACGAATCCAAATTGTGAATTTGAAGCCAACTATGTTGCTATCCACACCCTCGCCACTTGGTATAAATCGAACATGAATGGAGTGAGAAAAGATGTAGTAATGAGTAAGTAACCTGTCCTTAATCTTTGACCTTGGGAGGGATACTGGAGTGATCATACAACCAATGGCAAAGTATGTATTTCTTTGTCATTCACAATTTAAGTGGTTTTATGAAGGTAATTATTAATGAATAGATACATGATAGGAGAAAAGGCTGCCTGGCCGTGGTCAAGTCACTTAAACTCTGTGTCAGTTCTTTTTTATTGTTGTTTTTGAGTCGGAATCTCGCTCTGTCTCCCAGGCTGGGGTGCAGTGGCACATTCACGGCCACTGCAGCCTCTACCTACTGGGCTCAGGCAATCCTTCTGCCTCAGCTTTCCAGTTAGCTGAAACTACAAGTGTGTGCCTCTATACCTGGCTAATTTTTAGATTTATTGTAGAGATGAGGACTCTCCAAGTTATTCAGGCTGGTCTTGAACCCTTGGGCTCAGGCAGTCCTCTTGCCTCCGCCTCCCACAGTGGTGGGATTACAGGCGTGAGCCACTGTGCCCAGCCATTTCTTTGTTTTTAAAATGTGATTCAGAGCCGGGTAAAGGTGGCTCACGCCTGTAGTCCCACTGACATGGCAGAGGAAGACTGAGGTAGGGGATCACTTGAGGCTGGGAGTTTAAGACATCTCTACAGAAAAATAAAAAAATAAGCCAGGCTCGGTGGCTCAGCCTGTAATCCGCGCCTTTGGGAGGCTGAGGTGAGTGGATGGCCTGAGCCTGTAGGTTCGAGACCCGCCTTGGCAAACTGGCAAGACCTCATCTCTACAATAAATTAAAAAAAGAAAATCAGCCGGGCATGGCAGTGCATGCCTGTAATTCCGGCTACTCGGAAGGCTGAGGCGGAAGGATCGCCCGAGCCCAGCAGGTCGAGGCTGCGGAGGCCGGGAGCGGCCGCTGCACTCCAGTCTGGGCGACAGAGCGAGACTCCAACTCAAAAAAATAAAATAAAATAGTAAAAATAAATAAAAATATTAGCTGGGTATGGTGGTATGCTTCTGTAGGCCTTGCTCTTAGGGAGGCTGAGGCTGGAGGATCACTTGGCGATGAGATGTGATTGAGTCTTTAAAGTCTGAGTCCTGGACGAGGTAGTCTTTATTGTCCCTTCGTTTCTAGAACCATTCTGATTCAGTACATGTTTTCAGGCAATTTTATTAAATGGAGGATTTTAGATTACTAGATTTTTTTTTTGTTTGAGTCGGAGTCTCACTCTGTCGCCCAGACTGGAGTGCCGTGGCCGCTCCCAGCCACCGCAGCCTCGAC